CCCCAAAACCCCAAAACCCCAAAACCCCAAAACCCCTTCTTAAACCCTGCTCTTGATAAAGTCCATATAAAAATTAAACTAAAATGTCATACAACTACATCCAAGAAGAAGACGACGATGGCTACATGCCTATTTCTTCAAAAAAGTCGTAAGGATTCTTCTTTATTGCAATTAGAGAGGCGGCCAATTAATTTTAATATAGAGAAAAAGATAAAAAGCAACCAGATAGAGAAGAACAGAATAGGTACAGTTCTTGCATAGTGAGGAATGAGGTGTTTTAGGAGATAAGAAGAGAAGAGGGGAAGGTTTACCTTTTGTTTAATAATACTCCAACCTTACTTAATTGTGGAGAGCATGAGCATTTAAATATTTTAAACTCCTTCCATTGTCAGATTCATATCTGTATCTCTTTTGATATTCTTTCTATTTAAAGGAAGAGCTAGTGGAGACTAGTAATAGCAATATCGGTGTTTGGAAGTTCTAAGAACTCCCAACTCTTTCGTTTATTTAGAGAATAATAGAGATCGAATTAGAAGTGAAGGGAAAACCTAGTTTTACATAGAGAATTCCAAAAATTAACTAAAAGATTTCTCAATACCTTCTTACAGTTTGAGTGATGGAAAAACTTGACCATAGAGCAATTTCTTATCTCCTGTTTAGAATTTTGTATTAGTTCCATTAAAGCCCTCTATTTTCCTCTACACTTTTTAATCTATTATTCTGAAAGTGATATTATAAACAGGTATAGATTCTTTAAGTTTGAGAATATTTTCGAATTTGTTCTGATTTAATAATTTTTAGTGATTACTCAAAGGATCCTTCCTCTCCTGCTGAACCTGCTAGAAACTTTATTACCTCAGATAATCAGAAAGGGTATCCTTCGGATGTTCCTACTGGTGTTCCTGTGGGTGTTCCTATCACTCCCGGTGCTCAACAAGAAGAAACAAAGAACGCACAATCTACCTCTCGTAAATTATTAATCTAATCTATTTCCAGAGCAACAAGAAATTGCTGAGTTAAAACAAATGATTAAAGATATGAAGACTGAAGACCAGGTGAATAGAAGAGAAGACTTAAGAGAAGCAAGAAGAGATATGAGGAGAGAGCAAAGAGAAAGGGATGTTAATGAAGCGGCCTGACTCTGTTGTACTGCGGTATGTGTTGTGGCTTAGTTTGTAGTGTTGTCTGGGGTTATTTGCAGGAGCACTGTCAGGTGGTAATTAAAGAAGAGATTTTGGAGGCGGGATTCAGTGAAAGGGGTTGTGGATACAATATATTTATCAATAAGGAATTATATCCCAACTAACTGTGTTACTTTTCCCTTACATAAAATTTGCTAAAATCTAGGAGCATTATTTTTTATTTCGGGATAAATCTCTATCAGTATTGATTGGATATTTTTTCTTGCAACTTTTCAACTTCAAGTTGTCCCAGGTCACCAGGGGTTTTGGGGTTTTGGGGTTTTGGGGTTTTGGGG